CCCGCCAGACCAAGAACCCCAGTGAAAGGGAAAGTCTTTGTCTCATGGTCTGACCCCTCGAGGTGCTGGCTGCTCCAACCACAAGTCCTCAGAGAGGAGTGGAGTAGCCTACAAACCCCGTCAGTAAAAATGAGAGGTGCAGGGAGCAGGCAGGGGACGTCCAGGGGCTGCAGCCAGACTGCTGGGCACTGGATTCCCATCAGATGTCCCTAATGAGCCCTTGGCTGAGCCCAGCTGTGCCAGGGCAGGCAGGGTGAGTAGGTGGTTGTCAGCCTGTCCTCAGCCCAAGGGCTAGATGGCAGACTCTGACAGCAGTCAAGAAAGGTGGCTCCACCCTCAGTGCCCATGCCCTGTCTATCACGGCCCTGCTCCACACCAGCCCCGACTCCCCACAGCTCCCAATGTGCTCGTGGCCCCACTGAGGACATACCAAGCAGGGACATGTTTGCGGAAGGAGGCTGGAACCCAGATGGTGAGGGAGGAGGAGGGGTCCTGGGGGACACTGCCACCACCAGGGGCCTGGGGCCCTATAGGGACAAGGGATAGTGGTGGAGCTTCACTTGGAGGTGGTGGATCTGACACTCAGGATCAGTGAGCCTGGCCCCGCTGCCTGCTGTTGGGCCCAGCTCACCCACTCTCCGGAAAGCTGCTGGGTTGAGGGTACTGACCTCACACCTGCAGCTGGAGAGGCCCTCCACACTGCCCCCCACCCCCGCACCCTGATCCGGAAGGCAGGGCCCCACCCAATGTGTGCTGAGCTCTCACACCCTCCCTCTCCAGGGTGTGGAACATGGTAGAGCCTTGGATTTGGAGCTTGAGGATAATGGGGCTCCCCACTTTTTAAAACCCCCTCCCATTTGTCTTCTTTTCATCCTTGCATTGGGAGCTCTCATGGATGTCCCACCACTGCACAGTGCATCCCATCCTGTCCCACCACTCCATAGTGCATCCCATCCTGTCCCACCACTCCATAGTGCATCCCATCCTGTCCCACCACTCCA